ACGTGAGTCAAATGTGGTACATTTAATTGTTATGTTAAATTATTATCGTGAACAAATTTTTATAAAACATTAACATATAAGCTCTGGCATGTAAGCGTTTACGAGTTAGATTTCCCGAGAATCTTTATATGCGGTGATATCCAGAAACTAGACCTGTCCTATCCAGATTCGGTAAGGTTGTTTTCTATGTAAATTTGCTGCTATAAACCAATTTTCATCACGAAATATTGAAAATGATACCATTTTGCCATATAAAGACATAGTTTTCGTAAGAACGGTTATATGAGAGACCGCTTAAAAAATCGCCCTTACAACACTTCTTTTAATACAAATGCTCACAAAACGACTTTTCAAAAAAGAATATTGTATGAGAAGTAGCATTCAGAGCGCTCCGGTCCGTTCGTTTATGGATCGAAACAGGCCGATGTATCAACTTTCAGAAATTGTGATTAGTAGGTTGAACACACGAACACAAGACAGACAGATAGACAGACAAGCTTAGATCGATTCAGAAAGCGATTTTCAATTCATTGGTACGGTGAAAGGTGGCTTTACCTCAAGTCAGGTTATGTATACATTCGCATATCGGGTATAAAAATAGAATTGTCTGCAAAGAATACAACGAAATGTATGAAAATAATGAAAAAACATATAACTAGTAATAGATCTTCATTTGAAAAAAATTGCATTTCTTTTCTTTCGGAACAAATGTAGTTCTTCCGATTTCAAAATTTGCATTATTAACGATCACTTCTGTATGAATACTAGGTCTCGTAGATGCTATTATAATCAAAACTTGAATGGCTTACTTAATATAAAATTTCGCGATACTACATCCGATTAAATTAATTTAGTGCTTATAAAAAAAGATTCACTACGCAATTAATTACATCACAACATGTATATCCCCCAATAAGCATCTATTATGCGTGTTTATAAAAAAATATGCAAATCATACTAAAAACGAAAGCGAAATATGAGATTGTTTTTGTTTTAAGGTATTGCAGATCAATATCGATAGTTTTTTGAATTATGTCATAATACTCTGGCAATTTATTAAATTTATGTAATTATTGATTTTGAATAGCTGAGCACATATGAATCCGATATTAACTCAGTTGAGGCAATTTATAAATTTATAGCAGTATCGAAAACTATTTAGGTTTAGCTGAAACTTTTTCTATTGTGCTAATTATAAAGCCTTCATCCATAGTGCAATATGGAATCTACTTTGCTTGCAAAGAAAGCAAAAAAAAGATTTTGAAAGTTAACTACTTCTGCTATGCTAACTTCAATTTATTCAATTATTTTTCTATTACGCAAACACACACACGCACACACACGAGGTATAACGAGGTTATCGTTAAAGTAAAGGCGTGGCTAGAAGAGATGGGGCTAGAGCTAGCAGAGCATAAAACCGAGGCAGTGGTAATAAGCAGCCGGAACCGCATGGAAACATGCTGCATACCGGTCGGGCAACGCACGGAGCAATCTCCTGCTATGAAATACTTTGGCGTTAAGCTCGAACCTCGACTCAACTTTAAGCGCCACGTTGAGTACGCGCCTGAGAAAGCTGCCGTCATCTAAGCGTCGTTAGCGAGGATTATGCCAAATATTGGAGGCTCGAAATTCAATCGGAAAGTAACAGCCACAGTGATAACTTCGGTCTTAATGTATGGAAGCTAAGCAGAGCCAGTGAAAAATTGGAAGGGTTAACCCCCAGCAAAGAGGCCTGGAGCATCATACGAGACTTTGTAAGCAGAATGTTGAAAGAAGTACGGCGGCTTGAAAGACAGCGGGCGGAGAACTGAGGGAGTGGAAGCCAATAGTGTATTTCATTGAGGTCGCACCGTAGAAAGCGTGCTGACGACAACCGGCCTCCGCGAAGTAATACCTAACAATGGTGCCGCTGGGCAGGGTGGTGGAGGAAACGTGTGTGTGTGTGTGGGGGGGGGGGGGTAGGTTTTAATACATACGCGCTATGGATGGCAGATCGTGCATGCTGCTAGTAAGAATCAGCAGTATCTCTTGAAGATTTTCAACCTCAAGCTCGCAAAGAAAAAAATGAACTATACACACACACACACAAAATCTGATAAGAGTTCAAACTCAGACGAAGGCCATTTAAAAGAGCGATTATGGTCAGTAAGAAAAACTGTTCCCAGAATCTGATTAACGAGATAAATGAGGACCCATGGAGCATGGCGTATAAGTTGGTAATGAAGGAGTTAAAATATTCAGACCAGCCAAATTGTGCAGAATTTGTTGAAGAAATAATCGGCACCCTGTTTCCACGGAAAGCCGTATTAGTATCTGTGCTACTGATTGAGGTAAGAGATAATATTAATTTCACCGAACCTGAGAAGATTGTTGCCATTGCAAAGGAAATAAAAGGCAAGAAAGCACCGGATCCTGATGGCGTCCCAAAGTGCGTTATTAAGCAAGCCATGTTGGCAAGACCTGCTATGTGTGTGGGCACATTCAATACTCCCGGAGCGAGCACCCATCATGAGTTTTGCTGACGATATAGCGATAACTATCGTGGCAAAAAGGAGGGAATTACCACTAGAGCGAATAAAACCACCGACATGATTGAAAGGTGGTTTCTTCTAGGAAAAAGACTAGGAAGTAACTATCCAAGTGGGAGATATGAGGATATAGTCACAAGACGCCATTAAATACCTAGTCGTGATGATCGGCTGCTGACTTTCGTTTAAAAGGCAACTGCAATACACGGGCGAAAAGGCAGCGAACGTATCAAAGTCGCTGGCCCGATTTCTGCCAAAGTTTCGGGACCCTAGGCCAGACCGTAAAAGTTCCTCGCAGAAGCGGTAACTACGACAATAGTGTAACGTCATATAGCAGAAATGTTAAATCAGCATACCGGCTAAGCACTCTAAGGGCGTGCGCCGTATACCAGAGAGCGTCGGAAGGTGCGCCTTTGGTTATCGCTGGCGTGATACCAATTGACATGCGAGCTAAAGAGAATATGTACAGGGCTGAATTTCACAGATTGTCGGCTGAAGCTGCTAAATAGCGAGCAAAACATTCGATTCGTTGAAGACTGCCAGAAGCGCTGGAGCAGAGCTAGTAAGGGTAGATGGACGCACCGTCTCATACCAGATCTGCAATCCTGGGTGAATAGGCAACATGATGAGTTGGACTTTTATTTGACACATCTAATTAGCGGTCATGGTTGCTTTAGATCATATCTGTACAGGTTTAAAATAGAACAGAACCTATTCTGTAGTTTTTGTGAGTGCATCGAAGACGGTGAACTTGTTTTGTTTGTCTGTCCGAAATACCATAACGAACGACAGAGACTACAGACGGAAATGGGAGAGTGACCTCTCCCCGACAATCTCGCGATAACTATATTGCACGACCTGAAAATATGAAAGGCGGTAGAAGTGTTCGCCGCAAATATTATGAAAGAACAAAGACTAGAGTTGCGTCAACGTAGGCTCTTAAATAGTGCCTAAACGGCTACACTCCGTTTGAACGTATACTTGAAGGTCATGCCACTCGGTAGGAAATAGGAGCGGTGGTTTTTAGCGGGTTTAAGTCTCGCCTTGATGGGCGCCTGTTCATGCTTTTCCACCTCAAAAAAAAAAAAACAAAATTAATAAACTAACTTTAAAGATTACGTTAGTTAAAATCTTTTCTTCCGAAAGATATTTATACAAAATTTGCCTGCCGCAAGTATGGCATTAAGAACATTAAGCTAGACCAGCCAACCCAGTTGAATTCTGAAAGTGGCAGACCTTCACAGTTCTTAGAAAATCTTATTCTAAGTTGAAATAATATATGCACAAATACCGTTAGAAATATGATTAATCTTCTGCCGATTCTAAACGTTTGTTATAAAAAAAGAAATTATATGAAGAAATTTTTAAAATGAACTGTTGCTTTGATATCCTGAAAGGTGAAAGGGTATTGAGTTAGAATAAATTTTTTGGACATATAAGCCACAAATTTATTGGCTTAGTCCATCTCCATTCAACAAAAAAACCCAAAAAAAAAAAAAAAAATTTTTTTTCCTAGAGTTTCTGTTATGCGACTATACATAAAAGTTTAGATTTTAATGTTCTATTTTGCCTAAGCCATTCAAATTTTGTGCATGTATTTATTCAGAGAAATATAAAATATTATTATTGTTATTATTACAGGTTTTCTAAACGAACGAAATAAATTCATAAGTTAAAGAAAGACAAATAAAACTATAAGGGATCACGGCCCACTATTAAATACCCTGTACTAGTTTAAAGTCATTTATGTAACGACTTTCCAGAATAAGGCATACTGTAGCAATTGGTCGAAAAAACCGATCCAGATCATTTTTAATAGCACCCGTCTTTGAGCCATAACACATCAGCAAACCAAATTTCATCAAAATATTTCGCAAATTGCGATGTGGAAGTTAAACAATACATGGACAGACATCACAAAAATAGACAAGCTCAGATCGACTCAGAAAATGATTCTGATTCGAACGGTATAAGAAAAGGTGGGTCCTTCTAGGTTTCTGCACATACCTAATATATTCCGTGCGACAAGTGGTGGACAACTCTATACATTTATACATTTGAAACCTTGATGACGAAATTTTTGATGTGCTTTAGCAGCCTGAGCAATGAAAAGCTTTCATTACTTGTAATAAATGAAACGTAAACATTAAAAAATATTAAAAAACACGTTACTCTTGCGGCTATCCTCTTAATGCACTTAATAATTCCATATATTAATGATCGTTTTAATTATGAATACTCACCGGAAGTTAGGAATATTGTTGAGTAAAGTATCTAGCACTGTCACGTCACCCTTAAGAGGAGCATGGTTGGCTTCCAGTTCCTGTCTTATCGCATTCATGCTTAAGTTAAAAAGCCTCTGTATTTCCGTATTACCACGCACCCCATTCCTCTCTACAACAAAATTGATTATTAATATATTCAGAGAATTAAGTAAATGTTAATAATTTAATTTTACCCGGCCACAGCAGCACTAAACTTTGATACAGAGCAAGTTCGGTTTCAGTTAATTTTAAATCAGCAATCGACTTAGCTGTTTGAAAAATTCTTGAGACCAGTCGCATTTCCTCTGAGTCCGATGTATAAAAAGCTTCTTGCGGCAACATTACGTCGCCATAAAGCACAGCATTCTGTGAGAGATCTAACAAACGGGACATTCTTACAATTGCCAGCTCAAATGAACCGGTTTTCAATAAAAGAATCTATCATTAAAGAATGAAGAAAACATTATGTTTTGCATTAAGAAAATTGCACGAAATGTTAAAAAAAATGAATTGGAATTTAAATCAAAAGAGAATATCTTAAAATTTAGATTTAACCTGATCGTCTTGACTTAAACGCATAAATCCCGGTATTAATTTTGCAAACTCAATAATATTTTGTATCATTTGTGTAAGCTTTTCCGCACAGTCTAACCACAGTTCTTGCTGGCCCAAGTTTTTATAATACAAAATCCTTGAGATATCCTGCAATAAATGAATAAAAATTAATAATGGTCGACTAATTGTGATCACTCAGTCAAAAAATGCTAACCTGCGGTTTTCGAAACATTTCGTGTACTATTTCCAATTTGGTATTTGTGTTCGCATGAGCCTCGGCTAAGGTCTTAATTAAAACATCGTTTATGTCTCCATCTCCTAAACAAAAAATTGAAAATTTTGTTAAAAATGCTTTAACAACGACAGCATATCGATCGATACGAAAACATAGAAATTTGCTCCGAGGAGACGATATTTACGTTCCAAACAAATTTCGAGTGCTAACGCTTGGAAAATAATTTCAAAATTCAACCAAATCTCTCTTTCCAATGACGAAAATTTTAGCGTAAGGTGATAAAAAAATAAAATAAACCAAGAACCAAATTTTTTACAAGGTGTCTTCTTCGATGTCCTTTTTAATTAGGCTTGACAATTTCCCCTTCATCAATGCCAAAGATTATTAGGATCTCTGACAGTCTGATATGATCATTACTGCGTTTGCATCCATCTTTTCATTTTTTTTTTCTATGATCAAGCACTCAGGAGGTGTTCCTTCTTCGTGCGGGCGTGGTAATGATCGCGCGGCCTTATAGGAAGAGCAGTGTGAAGTGCGGGAATAGTGTTTGTGAACGTTCGATTTGAAAATCGAGACTTAAAGTACACCGGCAAATACAACTGCTGGTAGGTTACTTCAAAGGTAAGCGTTGTAGTTAAGAAACAGGTCGCGTTGTTGTATTGTACTCCATGACGAGTGGATGAGAATGCTGAGAAATCCCTTTAATCCTGTTGAAGAATTTAATTGATGGACATATGTCTTTTATTAGTGTGAAACACTTGTCCTGAATATATCTGCACATAAGTGCAACATAGCCCACTTTGCGCTGATGCTCAAGGAACAGTTCATGGCACACTTTCATCCCCCATGAGAACCTGACCCTTTCGCTTGTCCTCGTTTTTCTTATTTAGGCATGGATTTCTTATTTCACGCCAGAGTCATCATGTGCTGTAAACTGTCCCCTAAAAGTTTCTGTAAACTACGAAGTATTCGAATGAAACGACGAGAAAAAGGAGAAATATTTAAAAAGTGGAAATGTCCCAATAAAGCTGATATGTTTTCAGGTCCTTATACGGGCGAAAAATGATGATTATGATCTAATCTCTTATGTAACGATCGAACGTGTATTCAAGAATCAGCGAAACGAATTTTGTTACAAAAACAAAATTTCAAAATTTCCTTTCATCTGCTGACTGCAGCCCGCTGTAAAAAAGGTATTAATTATCACATAAGATCATATTACCGTGACTGATAAATTCAGAATCCATTATTGTACTTCGTGGTTCGTATGTAGTACTATCGACATAATCGGCAGATATATCGTAGGCCATTGTCTGTTGCGGCGTCACCGACGCAGAGTAGCCGTACGGACTCCCATAGCTGACTTCATTATTTGAATAGCTATAACTAGACAAATGAATTGAGTTAATTCGCTATTTACTTATAATAACATTATCGAGGAGACGTTGCCAGTTTTCAAGTTACCCGTTATAGCTGTGATGCAATTGATCACTGCTGGAAGGTGTTTGTATATCGAATACAGAGCTATCGGGCGCAGCATCGTTTTGAGCCCTCATCTGTGCTCGATGAAATCTCACCTCGTCTTCAACTTTTTCTCTTTGTTTTTTCGACATTCTACCGAATTTTACAGCTTAAAACGAAAGAATCGTTTTATAAAAGAAATTAAAAACTATTTCGAATATATTAAGATTAATATTAAAGTTTACCATCGCGGCTCATTCCCAATTTGAGGCACTTTTGCAGTCTACAATATTGACACCGATTACGGTTAACACGATCAACAACGCATTGCTTATTACGAGGACATTGATAATTAACTACCGAGCTTTGTGATCTGCGAAAAAATCCTTTGCAGCCTTCGCATGTTATAACTCCATAATGAACTCCAGATGATTTATCGCCGCAAACTTTGCATGGAATAATTTCAATTTGAGCTGTAAATAGAAAAATCAATTCATTTAAATTAACTTCTCTTTCAAAAGGATGGAATAATCAGTTTATAGAGAATTAAATTCGTTGACTTCCTTGGACTTGTAATCATATCGAAGATTCGTTTTTTAAAAGGTTTACACATTTGCTGCGATTATCATTTAATGTTGGCATCCTTTAGAAAAGTTAAGACAACGATTTTAATTTGTCACAAGACTTTTTCTTGTCCTAATTGGCTTTTGAATGCCTTCAAGCTCTTCTTCTTATACACGACACCAGGAAGGACGTATTAAGCAGATGTATGCAAAGCACAAAACGGCTTAAGATACTTGTTTCATCTTTCCTTTTTTTATCTAGAATAAATTCTTTGATAGATTCATTCCTGTCCGTCCGCCTGTGTATCTGATGTTTGTCCATTTATTTTTGTGCTCAACCTACATATCGCAATTTTCGAGATATTTAATGAAATTTAATATGTTGATCGAAATGAAAACTATGGTTGTGTTCCCTTTTACAATCACATAACACCTTATTTTCGACAAGAATAGGCATTATAGTGAATAAAGATTCGGCACTAAATACCCTACACCACTTTTTTGCTAAAGTTTTTCATACAACGACTTTTTTTGGGAAGTAGTGCAAAAAGTGGACCATTTCAATGTTATTCGTTCTTGAGCCAGGGCATCAAATTTCGTCCAAATAGCTTAAAAATTGCGCCATGTAGGTTGAACAAAATAATGTAAGACGTCTTAGATCGATTCACAAAGTGATTTTTAATGGAATTATGTAGTAAAAGGTGAGTACATTTCAGACCATTGTGAGTGTTCTATAAATCCTCACAAACTTAGTAAGTAAGTACCATAATACACTACTTACAAAAATTGGAAATATGAAAAAAAAATTGGACTTCGTTTATATCTTTCGGGGAAAATTGGTGAAAAATGTTACTTTGAAATAGGAAATATTCAAAAAAATTAAGATACGATAGGAGCATATTTTGAACCCATTATCCTATAAACCTTCCTAAAAAAAATAGATTTTTACATGATTACGGCATTTTTAATATTTTATGATAAGAATCGGTCCAAAGTAGCGATTTAACATATAACTTTACTGAGATAAATTTGGACCAAGCTGGTTTAGTTTTCAAGCCTCCTTTTTCCATAAAATTGTTCTCGTGAAAAAACGGAGTCTTAGTCGACAAAAAGGACTTTATTTTCCATAAGTAATGACGAAAACAGCTCGAGGATAAATATTTTTTGACAATAAAATTAATTGAACTACACTTGACCTAAACAGATTCATTTTCAGGATCTTCTCCCGTAGTTTATGAAAATCAAGCCTTTATACGCTGAAAAGTCTTAACTTTTCATATTTAATGACGAAAATAGGTAAAGGATATATAGTTTTTGACAAATAAAAAAATTACCTATGATAAATTATGAGCCTTGAGCCCACTTTTAGAACCCCTTTCCCATAAAACGGTTGCCTATAAAAGCGATCTAATTGCTTTCTTAAAATGAACGTTAAAACGAAACTACTTTTTATTTTGATAAATATTCGATACAACTAAGATTTATGCACGTTATTCAAAGGGAAACCACAACCTATCATATATACATGAAATAGATGAAACCAATTTTCGATCTAATTTACCCAACAGGGTATCCAATATTCATTTGCAATATATGAATAAATTCCAATTTACTGCTTTGGACTAACGACCTGAGATGATTGTACAAGAAACAGCCCAAGAGTGTTAAATTAAATCACAGTTGCTTGGAGGCCATACTATATTTTGATTTTTTGACATTATTACTTCACTAAACTAAGGAAATAAATCAACTGATGTTGGTGGCAGCATGTGCCACACTGAGCCAGATGCAAACGGTGCAGCCTGAAGTTGTTTAGATCGCCCGCATTCAATTCGAGTCATCAAAAGGTATCGGTTGCGTTTTCTTTTTACTATAACGGGGACCGATGATGCTACCAACACAGAAAGCAAAGCAAGTGAGCAAAGAGTTACTTTTGCAAAATATAAATCTTGTGTTGACTAGCTTCATGCGAAAAATCATATTCACTGAACCGTAGTGGTACGATTACGAGGATTGTAAGTTTGCAATAGTGCGTGAGATCAGTTTTTGTCGATAAAAAATTACTATAGTTTCCGATAGTCTACCATATAAGATTTTTTCAAAGAATCATCATAGTGTACACCAGTTGTGGTATAGGCTACATTAAATTTATGCGGACGTACGTAACAACGGGAAGGGCTTAAAATAGACCAACCATTTCTTAAACCTATCGATTCAGAATGATCTTCAGCTGTAGGTTAAAGCACAATTTTTGAGATATTTTGATAAATGCCAAAAAAAGTAAAGGACGAACGCTAACCGTATACACCGCCTTATTTTGAAAAGTAGTTATATGGAAAGGTTGAAATTTTCAAAATTTGTCAACATATTTCGGCAATCAGTAGTTTTTGAATATCACCGCATATAAAGATTCGCAGGAAATGTAAATCGTAAACCTTTACATACCAGAACTTACATGTTAATGTTTTATAAAAATTTGTTCACGATAGTAATTTATTTTTTTATAAGCACTAAATTAATTTAATCGGATGTAGTATCGCGAAATTTTATATTAAGTAAGCCATTCAAGTTTTGATTATAATAGCATCTACAAGACCTAGTATTCATACAGAAGTGATCGTTAATAATGCAAATTTTGAAATCGGAAGAACTGCATGCAATTTTTTTCAAATGAAGATCTATTACTAGTTATATGTTTTTTCATTATTTTCGTACATTTCGTTGTATTCTTTACAGACAATTCTATTTTTATACGCGATATGCGAATGTATACATAACCTGACTTGAGGTAAAGCCATCTTTCACCGTACCAATGAATTGAAAATCGCTTTCTGAATCGATCTAAGCTTGTCTGTCTATCTGTTCGTCTTGTGTTCGTCTACTAATCACAATTTCTGAAAGTTGATACATCGGCCTGTTTCGATCCATAGACGAACGGACCGGAGCGCTCTGAATGCTACTTCTCATACAATATTCTTTTTTGAAAAGTCGTTTTGTGAGCATCTGTATTAAAAGAAGTGTTGTAAGGGCGATTTTTTAAGCGGTCTCTCATATAACCGTTCTTACGAAAACTGTGTCTTTATATGGCAAAAATGTATCATTTTCAATATTTCGTGATGAAAATTGGTTTATAGCAGCAAATTTACATAGAAAACAACCTTACCGAATCTGGATAGGACAGGTCTAGTTTCTGGATATCACAGCATATAAAGATTCTCGGGAAATCTAACTCGTAAACGCTTACATGCCAGAGCTTATATGTTAATGTTTTATAAAAATTTGTTCACGATAATAATTTAACATAACAATTAAATGTACCACATTTGACTCACGTAGATCTATTTCTTGGACCATATTCCTTATAAAATTCCTCATGAATAGTAACCCCTTCAGAAAAAAGCTTAAGTTGAAATATTTTATGATAAAAATTGGTTCATGGCAGCAATATAGCAAAATAATTATAATTTGTTTCCATATTCCGGCTTTTCAGAATAGGGCGTTATATGAGGAGTGGTCAAAAAAGTGGACCGATGCGAACAATTTTGAAGGGCGTTCGTGGTAGGGCCAAAGTACGCCTGTGTACCAAATTTCACCAAAGTATCTCAAAAATTGCGACCTGTAGCTTGAACACAAATTTACATGGGCAGACATCAGACCGGCAGACAGGATTACATCAATTCAGACTACGATTCTGAATCGATCGGTAGAGAGTTTGGATCACATAACTATTTTTTTATACGCTACCTTATAACGAGTGAATAACTGTAGTAGGCGATGTTGTATGAGGTATCTGATGAGGTATCGATCTTGCCTGACTATAATGTTCTTACTTGTTTTTATATTTTATCATTTTACTAAAAAAGGTTCTATTTTCGTGGGGTGGATTACATCAGAGAGAGTTCAGAAACTTGCCACAGCGAAGCAAAATTTTCCAAACCAATTTAAAATTTCGAAATATTATTATAAAGCAAGTTATATTCAGAAATTTTGAAAATTGCAATTACTTTTCATTCGTCCTTAGGATTTCATACAAATATCTCAAAAAGTGCGATTATAACTTAAGCATAAAATTAGATGGACGGAGAGGTGACGGACCGATAAACCGACAAGCTTTGATTGACTTGCAAAATGGTTCTGAATCGATCGGTGGAATAAAAGGTGGGATTGGTCTATCTTAAGCCCATCTAGGTTTTACATGCGTCCACCTAAACTTCCTTACCCATCCTTATTTTAGAAAGCTAAAAAAAGTAAATTTTAATAATCCACCACTTTGAAAGGACTTCCAAGGTTTTTACCAAATTTGAGGCCGATATCTTCATTTTTGTGAACAGAAGAATTTTATCACAAACGTCACACCTCAACACGGGGTGGAACCAAGCTATCCGCCATTGTGGTGAAAGAAACGTCGCTGAAATAAATATTTTCAAGGAGATCGACAAGGTATGGCACGATGTATCTGCGAACGGACTTCGTTTGATGCCGACAACATTTGCACAAGTCGGAATAATCGTTCGATAAACAGTGTAATCGGCGCATATTCCTCGAGCTGCTTAAGTGCGTGTATACGAAAAAGCTCCTTTTTTTCTTATTTTCTGTTTCTGACGCTCATTAACAACCACCTGTGTGTGAAAAAAAAACCCGTTTACTCACTGCTAACAACTACACATTTTACGACCCGTTATCCCTCGCCAAGAGATCATATAACATCGAACTACAAAACAAATACTGCACGATAAGAGGCACACTTAATAAAGACATCGTAAAAATATTCTACGGTAAACTTTGACGCCACGAAAGTCCATTGCCATATCTTAATAAATGGACAATGATGGACAACACCCCTCGCTTTTGATGGTTTCAATGTAAAATAATCAACAAATCTGGTCATGCGAATACAAAATTATGTTGAT